CATTAGGAATGGTCCTGACTTCCTGCAGATGCTTACTTACCTCCGGGTTACCACACCTTCCCTTTGTGTTCCTCTAAATCTTTCCAACACTTGTGACTGATTCCTTAAGTTGAATTCCCTCTGTTTGAAATACCTAGAATGATTTGTTTTCCCAATTAGAGACTCACTGATATGCTCAGTTCCGGCATCAAATTCACCAATAACCCAATTTCCCAATTAGAGACTCACTGATATGCTCAGTTCCGGCATCAAATTCACCAATAACTCCTCTACTGCCAAACTGTAACTCTGTCCTCTCCTCCCTATCTCCATTGCCACGGCCCGTCTGGCCCACCTCTGTTTCCCATGTGCATTATGAAGCCTTCTCTCAGGTCTCCTCCCTTCTTTTCGACTTGCCTTAGACATAAATAAGGTGGCATCATTCTCCTTTGGGAAACCCCTGCTTTTAAAGTCCAAACTCATTAACATGGCCTACAAAGCCCCAGGGACCAGGCTGTCATCATGCCTTGTCTTCTTTGCTCACTGTGAATCAGCAACACCACTTTTCTTTCAGTTCTTGAAACAAGCTAAACTCTCTTACCTCAGCGTTAGTGCATATATGGTATCTTCACCTTGGACTACATTTTTCCCTACCCTACGTAAAGCTAGCTTCTTCTGATCATTTCCTACATTTTATTTCTCACAAAGACCTTTATTATCACCCCAACAAAAGTAAGTTCTGCCCATCTCAGCTCCTTGTTTATTTCCTTCATAGTAACTATCAACACTTGACTTGTTTGTTTGTTTTGGTTTTGGTTTTGGTCTGTTTTACATTCTTTTCTCTCAGAAGTCTGAAGGCAGGGACATGTTCACTGTGGTATTTTCCGATGCCCAGCACAGTGCCTGACACAAATCAGATGCTTGCTATACACTGAATGAATGTGCTTCATATTTAACTGTGTTTCTAAATTCATGTGTAGAACTCAAGGAAATCTGATTTTCTCGATAATTTTTTCATTGTTGGATGTTTACATTATGTTTCTGTAGAGAATAAGCCAAAAGTTAATTAAAATCTAAGAAGTGGAAGGAAAAAAGTAAACATTTTGGGAAAAGAGACCAAATTGACAAAAGATAAATAAAGAGCTGAAAAATCTTCCCATGATGTAGTTGCAAAATGTTCTACCAAAACTGATTTGGTACAAGTTCTTCAGCTGACAGATTTGCTTTTGCCTAAATTGATTTAAGTCCATTAGCTAAAGCTGATCCAGTTATCCATCCTGGGTTCCGAGTCACTTTTAAGGCTCTACAAAGGTCAAGCAAAGAATTTCACTTAGGATCCGATCTCATTCTTGAAACACTTTTACTCTTGCATTCTTATATCCTTCAGGTAGGCATTCATTCATTGAGTCTGTCAGTCAGTCAACAAATATTTTCTTGCATGTTTTCCCTCTGTCACACACTATACTAGGTGCAGGATACAGAGGTACAAGACAGATGGGATTCCTGGGCTTCGGAGGCCTACCGACAAAAGGGAGACAACCAACGAGGAAGCACATAAAGAGCACGATTTCAAAAAAAAGAAAAAAAAAATAGTCTAGGAGCTCCTGGCTGGCTCAGTTGGTTCAGTGTCCAACTTCGGCTCAGGTCATGATCTCACAGTTCGTGGGTCCAAGCCCCGCGTTGGGCTCTGTGCTGACAACTCAGAGCCTGGAGCCCGCTTTGGATTCTGTGTCTCCCTCTCTCTCTCTGCCCCTCCCCCACTTGTGCTCACTCAAAAAACAAACAAAAAAAACCAAAATACAACAATTTCAGGTAGTGATTAAGTGCAATGGGAAAATGTAACAGGCGAATGTGATGGGTGGCAGAGGGGCACCTTCAAGTCACTGGTCGAAGAAACCTTCCCTAAGAACACCCCATGAGCAGGGCCACACCGAGACTTGAACACGTCAAAATTAGGATGTCTCTCTCCTTCCCACTCCCCAGGTCATGAAAACTTTAAAAAGCCAACCAAGTCTTAAAATAAGTGGAAAGAGTGTCAACAAAGCCCCGATCTCTCTACCCCCCACCCTCAATACAACTACTTGAATACTTTTGGGGAAATATCTAAAATCAAATTCATTCCAAAATATTTTCTCATTTTTAGGGATCTTTTTTTTTTTTTTTTTTTTTTTTTTTTTTTTTTGCTGAGTCTCCGAGCATACTTTTAATCTGTTTAGTGAGTTAGCTACCACTTAGAGTCATCTATGCAAAAATCTTAGGAAAAAGTATCCCAGAAAGAAGGGAGAGTGAACACAGAGACTCTCAGAACTTTGGTGCATACAGCCTGTGGGCCAAATACGGTTTTACTGAAACGCGGTGTACCCGTTCTTGGTGGAAGCTTCTACCTCCACATTTGCATGACAGCTTTTTTCCCTTAGGCAATCTGTTTTTTTTCACCCTAGCACAGCCCATCACTGCACAGTAGATATCAGGTCAGACAACACCCAAAATACTGAGTCGCCTACTACAGAAAACATTTGCCGACCCACAGATTTTTTTTTTTTTAATTTACGAAATAAGATCGAGAGCTGGTAGAGACTTTTCAGTTTGCAGAGGGAGCACGATTGCATCCTCCCTTTTTATTATTTGTGTCAAATGTTTATTTATTTTGAGAGAGAGAGCATGCACTAGCAGGGGCGGGGCAGAGAGAAAGGAAGAGGACCCTAAGCAGGCTCCAAGCTGGCGGCGCAGAGCCCAATGTGGGGCTCGAACCCAAAACCCGTGAGATTATGACCTGAGCTGAAAACAAGAGTGGGACGCTCAACCGACCGAACCCCCCGGGCGCCCCTCATTTTCTCTCTTTAAAAGAGGACTATGGCAGCTGTGCAGAGAATGTGGGGGGGAGGCTGGATATAGCAGAGACCAGGTAGAGGCTTTGACAGCGGTTGTGGGGAGTCTGGGAAGCTCGGACTTGCGTGGGAACAGTAGGTATCAAGTGTGACGAAAAGCCAATCCTTCCATAGCTTCCCACAACAACATGGGCTTATTTTTCTCTTCAAAGAGCTTGAGGTGTCCTCGCCAGTGTCTAGCTCTTATCAGTAGGAAAAGGCACCTTTTGAGACATCCCATTTGATTAATCATCTTACTTCAGAATCATCTTACTTTGATGTTCTTCTGCCCGTTTCGGGCCTTCACAGGAACCTCTGGAACTCTGGTATCCCATTTAGCTCCCAGATGCCTTGGAAGACCCCCAGGGCCTCTGCCAGCTGCCTGAGCCATAAGAAACACACTGTAGTTGCTGGTGTCACTCTCCAGCTTCTCCTGGTGGCAAGCTGGTGGGAACCCTGGGAGCTTAATGGCAGGGTTCTGGTGCTGTGACCCCCTCTCTGGTCCTTATCACAGGGCATGGAGTCTTCTGGGGTTCTGTCGATGTGCCTGCCTGCCTGGGCTTCACTGCTCAAGAGCTGAGACTTTATCCAAAGCAGGCCTGCCTCTCTTTAGTGTGATCCACAGCGGTGTGGCCTCTTTGAGAGCCCCGACTCTGCTGCACCTCTGGCAGCCGCCTGGGTCCTCTCTGGTGTCTGCCTTCTTCTGAGTTGGCTCCTACTGGCAAGGGAAGGAGAGTGGGCTGTGTTTGACAAAACTTCCTGGACTGTCCCAGAGTGGCTGGTTACTGCCCTACTTCACGTGTTCATTCTCAACACAACTGTAGTCAAGGTTCAATTCAATTTTTAAAAACTAAATTGCTTTCCTCAAATTATTTTGTGGATTTGCGTTGAGATCTTCAGCTGGGTACTGCCTGAAGATGCCTTTGTCTTCTACGTCTGAAGGCAAAGCAGATGAACACAGAGCCTGGGACGTACCCCCAAAATAATATTAATAACCAAAAAAGGAAATCTTTATAGAGTATTTTTAGCCAATTTTATTCATTCAAAGAAAGGAAGGGAGGGAGGGGGAAAAATTTAGGAAAGTAAATGGAATCATGTCTGACCAAATATGGTAGAGCTACTTCTAAGTGTCCCTCCATTTTTCAAAGTTCTATGCCTCACTTACTTTTTAAAAAAATTGATTAAAAAAAAAATCCAAGTAACTTCACTTCTTGATTTATGACACTGTAATCTTTCCTGCCAGCCCCATTTACTCCCCACCCGCCTCAAAATTCTCCAAACCTCCCCAGCAGCAGTGTGCTTTATCTGATAACTGGCAAAAAGAGACAGAAAGGGAATACCCAAGGGCCCCTGGGTAGCTCAGTCAGTTAGGCGGCTGACTTGGGGTCAGGCCATGATCTCATGGTTCGTAGGTTCGATCCCCGCATCAGGCTCTGTGCTAACAGCTCGGACCCTGGAGCCTGCTTCAGAATCCGTGACTCCCCCTCTCTCTCTGCCCCCTTCCCAGCTCATGCTCTGTCTCTCTCAAAAAATAAACCTTAAAAAAAAAAAAAATTAAAAAAAAAAAGAAAGGGAATACCCAGGTGATTTTAAAAAGATAAGAACTGTTTAGAGGCTGCTTGCTTCCAAGAAGATCGAGTGGCTTAGAGAATGATCTGGGAACTTCAGTTCTTGCCACCCTTTTGATAAACACGCGGTGAACAGTAGTGGTGTTTCATTCAAATTAGAAATGGAAAAAGCCAGAGAGAGGAAACAACTCTGGTCTGGCTTCTTGGGGCACCTCAAGGGCCTAGAGAACTAGGCTGACCAAGGCAGGGAGGTGCCATGAAATAGAGCTACCTGGGCTTTAACTGCAAGGTTAGTCTTCATCTGAGAGTGAGTGTGGTTTCAGAGCCTTATAGGAGAAGCGCGGGTGGCCGGGCAGGATTGGGGACCTGTGGGTTGAACACACAGCAGTGGTGCATTTGCAAAGGAGGAAGCATATCAGAATCACGGGTGAAACTTTTCCAACCTCGCCATTTTGATCCAACCGTGTCCACCATGGCCCCCACTCCCACGCCCATATCCTCCTCTTCCTCATCACTGTAGAATGAACGTCTGTTACTCACAGGAGGGTGTTTGTCAACCAACTGTGTTGGGACCAGGAGCACATCCAGATTTTGTGGGGCCGGAAGCTGATACAATTTTAAAGGCTATCCTTAAAAAAAAAAAAAAAAAAAAAAAAAAGCAGATATAAAATGCCTGTAAGCTAATATAAAATACACCCAAAGCACTCCAGTGCCACAAACAGATCTGCCTCATTCTTTTTAATAACTGCATACTATTTTATTGTAAGGATGCACTATAATTTATTTATCCATCCCCCTATTGATAGATCCATATATTGTTTCCAGCCTCTTATTATTATATAAAGCGTTGCCATGAGTACATTTGTACATACATCAATTCCCACATTTGAGAACATATCTGTAGGGCAAATTTCTAGAAGCAAAAATCACTGGGTGAAAGAAGCATTTGTGTATTTGTAATTTTGATAAATATTATGAAATTACCTTTATAAAAGCTGTTCCAGTTTACAATGTTACCAGCAGCATACGAGGGTACCTGTTTCTCATAGCCTTGCTGGTGTAATACTATTATTTATTTATCTTTGCCAATGTGATAGATGAAACTATCTCTTGCTCTCTCTCTCTCTTTTTTTTTTTTTTAGTAATTTTTCATGTGTTTGAGCAGCATATGTGGTTGTTTTTTATTTGAACTGTTCCTATCTTTTGGCTGTTTTCTTTTCTTTTACAGTAGACCAATAACCTAATTGGCCTTTTTCTTTTATTCAATTTTTTTAATGCTTATTCATTTTTGGTGGGGGGTGGGGGGGCCAGACAGAGTGCAAATGGGGGAAGGGCAGAGAGAGGGAGATACAGAATCTGAAGCAGGCTCCAGGCTCTGAGCTGTCAGCACATAGCCCAACATGTGGCTCAAACTCAGGAACCATGAGGCCATGACCCGAGCTGAAGTCAGATGCTCAGCTGATGGAGCCACCCCCAACTGGTCTTTTTCTTACTGAATTGTAGAAATGCTCTCTATTTTAGGGAAATTATCACTGTAACATGTAATATGCAAATATTTTTCCCAGTTTTTTATTGGTCTTTTGATTCACATAGGGCATATAGGAGATTTGCCATCAGATTTTTTTTTTTTTTAATATCACCAAATTTAGCCTTCTTAGCTACAGCAGTGCGGGCAGGCTCCTCTCAAAAGGTGGCACTGGAGCTGACACCTAAAAGACCTCACGTGCATCTATTTGTGCAGGTGTTTCATGCAAAGAGCAGGAGACAGGAGCCCTTGTCAGGAGGCTCTCAGGAAGGAATGTGCTTAGTGTGTTAGAGGAACTGAAAAGAGCCACTGCAAACATGATATACAAGAAGTGCAAGAGCTAGACAGGACCGAAATCACAAAGGTTTCGAAGGCCACAGAAAGAAGTGTGGGTTAGCTTTAAGGCCCCAGAGGGGAACCAAAAGCAATGGGGTAAAAAACCATAGGAAGCAATTTTAGATTCTACGTATAATTAGACGAACATTCTAACAGTTATCACTGTCCGGCATGGACTGGGCTCCAGGGGTATTCATCAGTGAGTTGCTGGCCTTGGAATTTTTCAGGCAGAAGTATAACACAGCTGGGAGGAGATATAGGGGAAACTGAAGCATTCGACGGGAGTTCAACTCGGTGACATTTCTACCTTTACCAAGAATACCAAGATTCAGACATTTTCTGTGGTATATCGTATATACACCCACTTTCTCTTCCTTTGTGGTTTCTCCCTCTTTTTCTGTTCTTAAGTCTTTCTTCCTTCTAACCTTCCTTCTTTCCTTCCTTTCCTTTACCCTCTCCCACTTGATAGTACTGCCAATGGTTCATTCTTGGCTCCACTGACAGCATTAAAGGACATGACGTAGTGTTTACATGGAAATAACTTTCTATTTCCAGTGACACCCGTTTATAGAGATGCCATGCACGTACCTGGCACCGGAACCCTCTTTGACCCAGGAGTCCCTGAGGGCAGGAACCACATCTTTTCCCTCCTGTGTTGTATTCTGGTGCAGGGACATGGATATACTATATGCTCAAAAAACAGATGATGTTAATATGCATTCACAGGCCGTGTCTGCAAAGTGGCTAATTGCAAATAATATGGTATCCTCTGAGCAGGTCAGATCTAGGAATGGTGAGGGCAAACACTGGTCTGAAGGGTCAGAGTAGGAGAAGGATTTGAGAGTCTTCCCTATAGATGAGGCACAATTACAGATGGGATCACTAGGTCAGAATGCAATGGAGAAGGTATAGAGGGGCAAGAAAACAAAGCCTATCCATAGGATTTCTAGCAAAGGGATGCGTGTAAAACTTAAGGCAGGCAATATCATGTGATCCTAGATTTGGAGAAAGGCTGGGGTAGGACTGGAAACTGAGAGGCTGCTCTCAGAACCTGGCCAGAACTGCAGCAGTGCAGTAGGGGGGTCAGGGAGGAAGGACAGAGAGCAGGCTGCACAGAGTCGGTGCCTTTGCTACGACAGACACTGCTAAGTGCTTTAATTTTTAATCTTTAATTTCAGAGCAACTCTCCAAGTTACTAATTAATATCCTAGTTTTACAATTGTGGAAACTGAGGCGAAGAAGAGCCAAGCGATTTCCCCCAGGTGACACAGCTGGTAAGCAACAGTGCTGAGGTTTACGCCCAGTCTACCTCCAAGGCTTACACACTCAATCAGAGAAGAAGTGAAGTTCCCCTGCTGTCACAAACACTCGCCGGGCAGGCCGAGCACAGAGGGGGAGGTCTCCAGTGAGTGTGGGATGTGTCTGGAGCCAGGTGAGATGGGCCAGCAGATATGCTCTGCTCTTGGCAGAAGAGGGAAAAGAGAACTGTAGTTACAAGCTTTCTCGGCTTCTCTCCCCAGCCAAGTCAACGTCATGTTTGTTCTAGGGCCATCTTTTATCCAAATAATATCTTAGTGTTTCCTCAAAGGAAGATGCACCAAAGTTTGGAAGCACCGACCTCTTTCCAATTTCTTATTTCCCTGGGGCCACATTCTCTTGACACGTCTCCCTTCCACACATAGCAACCACACTAATTTGGAATTGGAATCCTACACAAAGAGGGAAAACACCCAGTAGGAAAATAAATCCTAACATGCTTTTTTTTTTTTTTTTTTTTTTTTTTTTTTTTTTTTTTAACCCACCATAGATTGAGCTGGAGATGAGAGGGGTTCTGCTTCAAACACATTGCAGTACAATTAAATACAAAAGCAAAGAACCCTAAATGTTATGATTTGCTTACTGTTTACATGACAAAATTAATTGAATACAAGAACAAAGGCAAACATTTGCAAATGGGGAAGAGGGGTAAGCGGCCAAAAATATACCAGGAAGCAGGAGTTGATTTTTCTTTAAAAAAAAAAAAACTGATGAATCCATTCCACATGATTTCTTGCCTACCACATATTTTTCTTATCAATGGGTACATAAATAAAGTACCCATTGAACATCTAGAAAGCTGTTATTATGGAACAAATTCAAGCAAAAAAGAAAAAAAATTACAGAACACAGAGAATATTCCTTATGCAAATCCTGAATTAGAAAATGCCAACAACCAGTGGAAAATGAGAGTGTCGGCTGAAGCAGGACTTGGGACTAGGCCCTCAGAGATGTTTCTGCTCCCTAAGACTTCACATTTCAGCCTCTGCCTCACTCCCTGTTGGCCATTGGGGCCCTGGTTCTGCCACTCATTTGGTGAGTGTGTGAGGCTTGGAGCAGCCACTTCTGCTAAGTGTCAGGATTCTCACCTATCAAGTAAGGGGCATGGGAGTGACAGATTCTCCAGATACCACCTCCCCTGGTTCAACGCAAACTGTACATCCCAGCACCTGGTCCCATTCATTTTCTGATCTAAGCCATTGCTGCTGGAGGTGTTAACGCTGGGGAATTCTGTGGGGGGACGAGATGCACCTGGTCCCTCGGTGCTTTTCTTGGAGTAAGACACACTGTGCATGTAGCATCCCCCACCCCCAGGGAGGGGTACTTCAGCACTTTCTCCTTACGGGGCAGGCAGAACTGCTGGTTCTGTAATGTGATCACATAACTCAGGGATCATAAAAGTTAGCTACCTTGTGCACCAAAATACTATGGCTCCATTTTACTCAAAATCTAGTCCGGCCTGTTCATAAGCAAATCATCTCATATATAAAATTACTTAGAGGGGTTCCTGGGTGGCTCAGTCAGTTGAGCGTCTTGACTCTTGATTTCTGCTCAGATCATGGGATCCAGCCCTGCGTCAGGCTCTGAGCTGAGCGTGGAACCTACTTGGGTTTCTCTCTCTCTCTCTCTCTCTCTCTCTCTCCCTCTGCCCCTTTCCCCTATTCTCTCTCTCTCTCTTTCTCAAAAAAAAATAAATAAATAAAAATTAAAATTACCTAGAATTTAGTTCATTAAACTAAACTATGTTTTTGGCTTATAATTATTTTTATTTGTTCTTTAACATGAATGGTAATAATAGACAGTACACTGTTCACCAAACCTCTGTTTGCATATCTTTGGTAACGCATTTTCATTTGATGAACGTTGATACTGGGTTAGGAAACATGTAATCTCATAAGAGCAAGTTTCCTCAAGACAAACCACTCTTGAAAACAAGTGAGAAGTTTTTGTCTTTAATTCCTGTTTTAGACATGTTATAAACATGCAAATTTATTTCCCAGTTGATTCAATCTGCCACCTCTAAATCTTTAGGGAGAATTACAGAAATGGAGATAAAATCTTGGTAATTTATTCAATTTTATCACTTCTACTGATCCCATAAAAAGACTCCATCTGTCAAATTATCTTTTCTTTAAAAAAACCCAAAAAACCTTTTATAATTTTCTTTATATGGGAAAGCTGAAAACGAGTAGTTTAAGTATCTGTGTCATGAAAACTATTGACGTTCCAATAGAATCTGTTCTTTCTAAATTATCTGTTCCTTAGCCTCTTTTGAGAGGAAACTTCAGCTTCTATCATTTGTTTATAATTTGCTCGTGCAGCTTGGGATTTATTGCTTTGGGTGAATATATTATGGCATGTTTGGGAAGTGGAGAATAAAATATTCTTATGTTAACATACTCTGTGATTTGGATTCCAATCCATAATCAGTACATCTTTCTTTTTAAAATT